CGCTATGAGTCAAAAACGACTCGATGACACATAACAACAACAACAACAAGCTGGTATTCGCAAATCAATCAACAAGTATTTGGAGAAAAGTTTGAGAAAATGGGAGCAGGAATTAGAATGATGTTCTGATCTGGCCTAGATGGGAGTGCAGATATCCCTCAAGAGTAGATTGTGAGAGAAAAATAAGTGAAGAAAAATAAGGAGTTTGGGTGATTCAATGAAGAAGCCCTGGTTGCACAGTGGTTAGACATTCAACTGCTAACCAAAAGGTCAGGGGATCAAACCCACTCACTGCTCTTAGGGAGCAAGAAGTAGCTAGCAGTTTGCCTCTGTAAAAATTTACAGCCTTGGAACTCCTGTGGGTCCCTTAGAGTCAGAATCAGCTTGACAACAGAGGTTGTTGTTTTGAGTCTTCCCCCCACATTGAGGGAGGCCCGGTGGTTAAGTGCTTGATTATATAATGGAAAACGTTGGCCGTTCAAACCCACGAGCGGCTTCTTGAGAGAAAGACCTGGCAATATGCACTTAGATTGCAATTGCAGCCTGGAAAACCAAACGCCAGGGCAGCTCTACTGTCATTGAGAGTTACTATGACTCAGGATCGATTCAACAGCATGCACGATGGAGGAATAAAGAGAAGGGTAGGGTGCCAACAGTTACAAGCTCAAGTACCAACAAAAAGGTTAGTCATTCTAACTAGAAATCCTAAGTCTCTGTAAACTTTCATTAAAATTAATAAATAAATTTAAAAAAGAAGGTTGGTCATTCTAGCCTACTCAAGGTGCCGTGGAAGAAAGATCTGGCAATATTCTTCTGAATATTAAAAACCCTGTGAAGCAGAGTTCTGTTGTGATGTGTGTGGAGTCACTGGGAGTCAGAATTGACTTAATAACAATTGGTTTGGTTTGGGAGGTTTGTTGTTGTTATGTGCCATTGAGTCACCTGCAACTCATTGCAACCATCTATGTACAATAGCTCTGAAGCCTGCCCTGTTCTGAGCCAGTCTCACTGACTCTGACACATCTACCCCCATTACCCCAGTTACTGTATCAATCCATCTCATCCAGGGTATTCCTTTCCTGTACTGTCCCTCCACCCTTCCAAGCATGATGCCCTTCCCCAAGGACTGGTCTCTCCTGGCCACATGCCCAAAGTATATGAGGTGGATCTTCAAAATCCTTGACTCCGAGGAGAATTTTGGTTTCACTCTCTCCAAGACAGATGTGTTTGTTCCCATGGCAGTCTATTGTATGTATGTTCAGTATGTATGTTCAAGACTCTTCTCTGGCATTACAACTCAAAGGCATCAATTCTTCTGTCATCTTTAGTCATTGTCTAGCTCTCTGATGCATAGCAAGTAATTGCGAAGACCATGGCCTAAATCAGGCCCTCCTTAGTGTCTAGACTGACATCACTGCTCTTCAGCACTCTGGAGAGGTCCCTGACAGCAGACTTTCCCAGAGCAACTCCTCTTCTGATATCCTGGTGCCAAGAGTGTTGATCGTGGATCCAAGCAGGCTGAAGTTGTTAACAATCTCCGTTTCTGTTCCATCTGTCATGATGCTGTCAATTGGCTAAGTGGTGAGAATCTTTGTTTTCTTGATGCTGAGATGTAATTCATATTAAAGACTACAGTCCTTGACCTTCTACAGCAAATGTTTCAGGTCTTTAAAGCTTCCTCTGGTGAGGTTTAGGGAGGAATCAATTGTTATAAACCTCTAAGAGCTAGTGAATGGGGGATGGGAAACTTTTGGGCTTTGGGGTGCCTAAGTGTAGCCATGTCCTACAAGGGTGTGGGTGTCCCCTGTGACTGTGAAGAGATGGAGGTTACTGTCAGGGATCCAGGGGTGCCCCAGAAGGATGCAAGCAGCAGACATCTTTAATCTGCACTCTGGACCAGTTCTCAACTCAAGACAAAGGTAGAGGGACCGTCTCAAGTCTCTTGCTAGCCACGAAGATTAAAGAGGCTGGGGCTTAAGGTAAATAGTGAAGGCTGGGTGTTGAGGGAGATGAAGTGGTGATGAGTATCAAGCAAGAGATAGGGAGGAGGGACAGATTGTGGGCTCATGTTTGGGGAAGGAGCCAGAGGCCAGGGGAAGGAGGAGGCTGATGGGGATGATGTTCATAATTCACCAGCAGCTCTATAGGGAGAAAGATGGACAGTCTCCTCGGGTGCGATCTACAGTCTCAGAAAGCTGCTAGACGTTCTGCTGTGAGTTGGTTCTGACTCAATAGTAACTAGGAGAGGAGGAGGAAGGGGAAATCAAGGAGTCCTGGTGGTGCAGTGTATTAAGCATTGAGTCCGAACCTACCGGCTGTTTCTGTAAAGATCTAGAGTCCTGGGAATCCCACGGGACAGTTCTACTCTGTCTTAAATGGTCACGATGAGTCAGAACGGATACCACAGCAGCGAGTGATCTGGACTCAGAAGAAAGAGCAGGAGAAGGTGTTCAGGACTGTTTCTCTCTCTCTCTCTCTGCTTGCTCTCTCCCCTATTAATGCCCTGCATTCTGCTAACAAGTTGTATGGGACTTCCTGGCTTTCATGTTCCTTCATGCTCCCCTAATAACTAGGAAACTGCTTTCCATCCATCTCTGGCTAGTCCCATCTTTTAAGGTCAAGAAGTAGATAGGAGGATCAGGGTTAACTTGGCATCCTCTGGCCACCTGTGCTTTCTAGAATGTTCCCTCAGAGTTTTCAGAATGAGGGAGACTTGGGTGCTTTGGCGACCTGAACCTCCTCTTCTACGTGAAAGGGGTGATGAGGAGGAGAGTGGGTGGAGGGTAATGTCAGCTCACAGGACAGATTCCTGAGGGTGACCAGAGTGTCACCCAGCAGCCCGAATCTAAGAGATCCCCCCAGAGAACGGAAAGACCCCTCCACAGAGTGAGCCTCTGGCAGAAATTGAACCTCTGGCAGCCCCATGTGGAGCCAGACTTCCCCATTTTTTTAGTATAATAGAGACTATTGGGGCACTGCCAGCTGATGGAAGCCATTGTTTGGCTCTGTGGCCTAGGGTCAGGTTGGTCCACAGCGTTCTGCTGGGGAATGCACAATACCCTTGTAGAAGAATGCAGAGAGAAAATGTCACAGTGTTCCTCCCAGCAAAATAAGGAAGGTAAAATTGTACCTATTGAGGCAGTCTGGACAAATCAGGAGCCTGGCTGACCCTGCCCCCAACCAAGGTTCCTTGGACCATCAATCATCAGTTGCTAACTCATAAACTTGGGCAACATTAATCTAGGTTAAAGAAGCAATGAGCACATTAAATTCCCCTCCTCTGACTGAAGGTTAGTCGCTATATTCTGAATTATCTGAGCACTGCTATTATTTATTATTATTATTCTGTGTGATAGACATTCACTTTGTTCCCCAGTTTCTGGGCTGCAAACAATAAATATTCTTATTACATGTGTTCTATCATTTCCTGCACATACATAATTGTATATACTGCCTAATGCAGATGTAATCTTTACCCTGTCAAAGAAGTCTAGAAAGCAACTAGCTTCAGACAGAACCTGGGGGAAGCTCCCCTCCCCAGAGTAAGTCCCCTTCTTGGCAGAAGCCCCCTGTCTCAGCTCCAGCACAATCTTAGAAGCCCTTTGCCTTGGTGTGTTTTCTTTGGCCTTACCCACACCAGACCACAGAGTTAGCATTTGCCAGGGAACAAGGTTAGTTGTGGTAAGGGGCTCTTCACTTTTTTATCTCTGAGGGTTTCACCTTCCCTTTTCCTTGTCTGTCAGATGAGATAGATTTAAAAAAAAACAACCCTAACAAAAAACACCAAACCAACCAACCAACCACACACCACCTAAGTGCTCTTTGCACCTTTTTATTTTGCTTCTTTTATCTTTATTTCTTCCTTAAAGTCGTACCACCAAGGTCCAAAGCCATCATCTCACTGCCAGCAAAGCCAAGCAGATTGCCTCCCCTTTTGATTAATCTCTTTCACACTATCCTTCATTCACCTAGTGTTTCATACAATCATTCCCACTTATTATGTTTTATAAAATCAATCACTATTAAACTGTCCCCACCTTTACCCTCTTTCCAGACCCCCACCCGATATCTTTCCCATTTTCTTTACCCCCTACTGGCTCCATCCACCAAATTGTATGACTCTAGGATTCCCCCGCCCCCACCCACCCTTACCCCTCTGCTCCCACTTCTCCCCCAACCTTGGATCTTCATATACATTTTACTAGTTATCTTTGGGGTTTTTGGTTTGTGTTTTTTGTTTGTTTGGTTTGGTTTTTTTTACTAGTTATCTTTGTATTTCTACAATCATGGTCTTATTAGCACTCAAATTCTTTAACCATGGTGTCATAAGGGCCCTTTAAATACAGCACAGAGAGGCAATAAAATAGATGCTGATACTTTATTGATGAGAAGGAAAAAAGTTTCACAACCATATATTGTCTGGTGAAAAAATACACAATATAGAACAGCACTTATATTTGCTCACTTTTAGCTATGCATAAAATCTATTGGGGTGCACAGGTGGAGGGAAGTATCTAGAAGGTAATTCATTAAAGGGCGGACAATGGTTAGTTAAGGGTGGAGGGTTTCAGGTATTTGCACTTTAGGTATTGCACTTGAACTTGGACCACTTTCACAAAGAGAATAAAATTACTAAAGAGCTGAACACATAGAGAAAACAGACCCTTAGGCAGGTGGGAAGGGACCAGGGACAGAGGTCAGGCCATTCTCCTCCCTTGTGCTAAAGTATAATATACAAGATTTCTTTTTCTCCTCCACCCCAGGAGAAAGTTGCTCTGAAGATTAATTCATGCATGCAAATAGAACCCCTCCCAGTTATCCCCATTACTGGACTGCGAATAGAGACAAGGGTTCCTTTAAGGCTGGGGCCTAGCACTTCACTGTGGCCCAGAGGGCTGACTGTGTCCACTAGGGACATCTCTGGGCTCTTCCTCCTCCTCCTCCTCCTCCTCCTCCTCCTCCTCCTCCTCCTCCTCCTCCTCCTCCTCCTCCACCTCCTCCTCCTCCTCTTCCCCCTCCTCCTCGGTATGTGTCAGCTCCTGCAGGGTGATGACCATATTCTCAAAGATCTGGGACCTCCTGCTCCCACAGCAGGTTTCTCTGGAATGGCCCTCCTGGCAACAGTAGGAACAGCAGATAGTATATTTTCGCTTCCTACACTTTCGCTTATTCCCAGGACCATCATTCATCTGGCCAGAACCACCACTGGTGGAAGGTAACTCGTCCCTGGAATCTCTCGGGGATGCAGTGGTCATCATGTGATCCTGAGGTCTGGGCCTGGATTGAGGGGGATTCTTACTCGTGGATGGAAGTGGAGGGGCCTCAGGCTCCACCAGGATCACATCCTCATCTGAGTCCTTGTTATCATCTATCTCTATGGCACTGCCTATCACTATTGGCTGGGGATCTTGGAGGGCCAGGGGGTTAGCTGCCCTCGCCATGGCCCACTCAGACCTTCTGGGCCGTTTTCGTTGAAAGACAGTGTCATCACAATCCTCCTCTGACCTGACCATCCTGATTAAGTCTAAAAAATTGGGAAGCTGCTCCTGCTCATTTTCATACATCCTCAAAAGCTCCTTAAGCCGAAAGCGCAATTCTCGGGACAGCTTAGCTCCCAGAAGGAGCTGGTGCAGGCGAGCCTCATTGGCATCTTTCTCAGGTATGACTCTTGCCTGGATAGCATTCTGGAGCTGCACCTCTAAACGGATCACATAAAGGGTCACTTTCTCCCCTGGCGCCTGCAGGGTGTTAAAAAATTTCCCATGGGCCTTTACATTGCTTTCAGTCTCCCCAAACACCAATTTCATGGCCCGCAAGAAATCTGCAACAGTTAGGTTGGGGTTGGCTGTCTGGAGCATGCGCATGACATCCTTGGCAGGGCCCTGGAGGGTTTTCATCAAGCGCCTGAGCTTTTCCTCCTCAGAGGTGTTCCAATCTGGCAGGACATCATTGACCTGTGCTAGCCAGTTTTCAAAGGTTTCTTCCCCCTGAGCTGGCACCACCCTCCCCGAGAATGGCTTCAAGTTTTTCTCTGTTAAAGCGAACACTATAGGGTCCAGGCACCTCCCCAGGGACCTGAACATGGAATGGGCCCAAGGAGGCAAGGGTGCGTTCTGCCCTCGGATGTTAAGCCCGTTTGCCATGAGATGAGCCATGACTGACAATGGCCAGCGAGCAAGAGAATCTCAGGCTCTGCCTTCCTTGTATCTCAGCAGGGACTGTAAAAAAAAAAAAAAAGAGAGAGAGAGAGAGAGAAAGAAAGAAGAGGTCAATAAGGTGTAAGTCGGCCACCTAGTTCAATCTCTTAGAATGCCCTGTCTGTATCCTTTGGACTAGTCAGTGTAACTTAGCCAGCGGGGTGCTTTTCAGAACCTCCTTCCTCTCTTCCCTGCCAGTCTTCCCAACAGGAGGGCAACTGTTGCTTCGAATTCTAGGTGTAATGGTGCGTGACGCAGATCCTGGGTTCTCTTAAGTGAGAGTGCCCCGCTCTACGTCTGACAGACTTGTGGAAATCAACAAGATCTCGTCCACCTCATGGTCTCACCCACCACACCCCCTTCGCAAAGTTTCCCTCATTATCTTGGGCCCTTACATGCTCTCAGGAGCAAGTGCGCACGCCTTTGTTTCCACGCTGGCCTCTGCTGCTGGCGCTGAGCAGGCTCGCCTCCAGAGTCCGGGTCGCCTCGTTTCCACGGACGGTCGCTGATCAGGGTCCTCAGGAAATCACAGCTGCGCCACAGTGGAGGACAGAGTAGGGAAGGGAAGGGTCAAACGCAGCCTCGCTCCTCACTCTCCCACCCCCACTCCCGCCCCTAGTCGCTTTTCCCCCAAGAAAATTTCCTCACCCACCTGCTGAATATTAGGCAAAGCGACCTATCCTCCCCGCTAGCTCCCTGGGACCCAAAGGCCTACCAGCTCTGCAATCAGCTACCAAGGATTCAAGTTCAGCTTCAGCCTTGATAGCCTGCCACGAAGAAAGGAGGATGGGTGGGGGGAGGCAGAAACAAGAGTTGGCCACGCACATTTTCTCCAGGAAGAGATAAAGGGAGATTCAAGGGGGGGGGCGGGTTTCAAGGCAGTAGGGCTGTGATTCCAGAACGCCCTCCCCCCGAAATGCTCCCCCAGCCTCGATCCAGGCATATCCTACCCATCCAACAGCATCCAGTCGAACTCCCCGGCCACCGGAGTGCTCCTTCCCCAAATGGGAGCCGCCCAGCACGTTTTCCCGTGGGGCTCGGGGCAATCACGCCCCTTTCTCTACCTGTACCTGGTGATGGATAGCGGATGCCCAGGAGTTGGGAGCTGTGCTGTTCGCGTCCTGGCCTCCACCGCCCTGCCAAGGGAAGAAAAAAAAGACGGGCGCCTCTGCAGCTCGCAGCGAGCCTGCTGGCCGCCGGAGCCGCCGAGCACCGCCGCCCAGCCAGCGAAGGCAAGCGGAGGCAGCGCGGTTCCCACGGCAGCAGCGGCCGCTTTTAATCTCTGCCCACTGAGACAAAAGAGGGTGACGAGCCGGCCGAGGCGGCCAATCAGCGGGGTGCGGGGGCGGGCTCGCACAGAGCCCATGGGGGCGGGAGGCGGAGCAGGGCCGCGGGGCCGCGGAGCCTCCAGGCGGGGAGGGGGGTGAAGGTAGGATCTGGTAGGGAGTCAAGGGCAGTTCTGAAGCTCCCGCTAGACATTTTGCTATTTACCCCTAATCTGGAGCTTCTCACCACTCCCTAACCCCTGCTACACTTCCTCCCCCTAACCTCACATCTGCACTTCGAGTCTTGGGGCCTTAAGCAAGAAGTTGGGACCATAATTAAGGGAAAAATAAAAGTTCCTCACTTTTGTATAGGGGCAGTGTGGGGAAGGAGAACCTTAGCGCTTGCTTTCTGGGTGCAAATGGCTTGCCTGGACCTCTCATTCTTAGCATGCTTGCAAAGAAACTGGAAGTCTGTTCATTTAACAGAAAGGGCATTTAAGGACCCGAACTCAAATGCTCCCTTTCATACGTTGGACTTGTAGCTAGGCGAGGCTATTCCTTGGAAAAGGACATGAGGCTTGGAAAGATGGAGGGTCAGCGAAGGAGACGATTAAACTTCCCTCCACCTTCAGAGAGATGGATGGACATGGTGACTTCAGCAATGAGCTCTAGTTTCTCAGAGATGATGAAGATGGCACAGGACAAGGCAGGCTGTTCATAGGGTCACTATGAGTCGTACTCGACTCGATGGCCTCTAACAACAAAGTATGGTTGCAACGTGATTTGTATGGGAATAATTTTGGGGAGCTTGGTAGAAAGTGCAGCTACATGGGGGCCACCTCTGGGGGACTTTGTTGTTAGCAGAAGGAGTGAGGATGTGATTTTTGTATTTTTGACTACCACTGTATAGTAAAACATGCAAAAGCTGCAAACCGTTACAGTAAAACCTTTAAGAAGGGGTGGGGGGATCTGTTGTTGTTATGTGCCATCTAGTCACTTGCGACTCATAGCGACCCTATGTACAACAGCCCTAAACCCTGCTCTGTCCTGTGCCAATCGCACTGCCTCTGACACACGTATCCCGATTACCCCAGTCACTGAATCAATCCACCCCATGGAGGGTCTTCACCTCCTATGCTGTCCCTCCACCGTCCCGAGCATGATGTCCCTTTTCAAGGACCGGTTCCTCCTTACAACATGTCCAAAGTATGTCAGACGAAGCCCTAGAATCCTTGCCTCCAAGGAGCAGCCTGGTCTAACCCTCTCCTGGATGAATCTGATTGTTTTCTTGGCAGTCCATGGTATATTCAATACTCTTCTCCAGCACCACAGCTCAAAGGCATCAATTCTCCTTCTATCCTCCCTAGTCATTGTCCAA